ATGTTGGGCTGGTGCTGTACAAGTCATTACAGATACAGGGGTGTAATATGTGGAGATGAGATGGAGCCCGCTGACAGACTCTTAAAGTGTAAATTAAAGTCTCAAAATAACAGGCGACTTGAAGGGAAATTGAATAATACAGTTTTGTGTGACAAGAGCTTTCTTTAAAGTTAAAATGTTGGCACTTTAAGTAATTTTGATTGATTGGTTGGTTTCGAAATGCGGGATAGAGTGAAGGGAAGCAAGCTATTTGAGTTTAGTTTGGCTAATAACATTAAAATACAAGACGGAAAGCTATCCACGGGTTCAGAATGATGAAAAATGAGGACTGTTGCTATAGCGATTAACAAGTTAAAGGGTAAATTGGGTAACATTTTTGGTGGAGGGTGTTATTTGTCTGGAATGTTTGACAGTGTGGTATAAATGCATCCCGAATTTTGGACTTCAGGTCATCGCGTAATGCATACTGGGAAGGATCCTCCAAAAAAGTGAGCATCAAACCGCCATGTTTGATTTCCCAGTGGGATGCGTCTATCATCAAAGTCGATCTTTTCAAGTCTTTTGAACCATATCGCTTTTGTTTCTAGCTCTGATATTGTCATATTTTAATTAAAAAAAAACTGCTAAAACATACAAAAACATACTCTTGGTGATATATCAATACAGCAGCCCATTATAACGATACTGTACGACCAAATTTAGTGTCATGATATTTCCATATTTCAATATTTTTGCAAACAGATAAGTGTGACTTCTTGGTTTGCAATAAATAAAACAGCTTGTACATGAGATGACTGTTCTTTTTCACACTATACTTCTCCACTGTAATATAATGGCAAAAAACAAAGTATAATTCACAACAAACCCTGACTAGTAATGAGTACTTGGCAAAAATTCGTAAAAACATCACAGCTCTGGTACAAATGGCAAATGGTATAATTCAACCAATTCCTCCCACAAAATAAACAACAAAATTATAGTGTGGTCACAAAAAAATAGTTAAAACCTACCAAAAAATAGCCTTGGTGGTATAACAATACAGCAGCCCACGATAACGATACTGCATCTCCACATTTCGTGTCACAGTTCTTTGATATGCAAATATTCTTAGAAACTTCTTGCAAACTTGTTGGTTCACAATAATTAAAACTGTAAATGAGAGGACTGAGAGGACTTTCTCACACTATACTTCTCCACTGTAATATAATGGGAAAAACAAAGTATAATTCACAACAAACCCTTAGCTAGAATTTGCAAAAATATCACAGCTTTTGCACTAATGGAGAATGGTCACCTATTGGCAAATGGTCACTTATTTCTTCCACTAAATAAGCAGCAAAATTATAGTCCAGTCACAAAATAAACCCTGCTAAAATGTACAAAAAAAACTGTCTTGCTGATATATCAATACAGCTGCCAACGATAACAATACTGTATCACCAAATTTTGTGTCACTATATTTCGAATATTTTTACAAAGAGATTTGTGCTACTTCTTGGTTCGCAATAAATAAACCAGCTTGGAAGTGAAAAGTATAAAACTTTTCCACTGTAATATAATGGGAAAAACAAAGTATAATTCACAACAAACCCTGACTAGTAATGAGTACTTGGCTAATGTTTGCAAAGACATCTCAGCTCTGATGCGAATGGTATAACATCCACCAAAATGGTCACCTCTTTCTTCCACTAAATAAGCAGCAAAATTATAGAGCGGTCACAAAAAAACAAACCATACAACAAATACTCTTGGTTATATATCGATACAGCAGCTCATTATAACGATATGGGATCAAGAAATTTAGTATCACAATATTTTTATATTTAAATATGTTTGCAAAGAGCTTTGTGCTACTTCTTGGTTCACAATAAATAGAACAGCTTGGAAGTGAAAAGTATAAAAGTTCTCCACTGTAATATAATGGGAAAAACAAAGTATAATTCCCAACAAACCCTGACAAGTAATGAGTACTTGGCTAATATTTGCAACACCATCACAGCTCTGGTGCTAATAGCGAATGGTCACCTATTTCTTCCACTAAATAAGCAGCAAAATTATAGAGCGGTCACAAAAAAACAAACAAACCATACAACAAATACTCTTGGTAATATATCGATACAGCAGCCCATTATAATGATACTGTACCACCAAATTTTGTGTCATAATATTTCAATAGTTCAATATTTTTGCAAACAGATACGTGCTACTTCTTGGTTCGCAATAAATAAACCAGCAAGTGAAATGTATAAAAGTTCTCCACTGTAATATAATGGGAAAGACAAAGTATAATTCACAACAAACCCTGACAAGTAATGAGTACTTAAGACATCACAGCTCTGGTGCTAATGGCGAATGGTCACCTATTTTTTTCCACTAAATAAGCAGCAAAATTAAAGTGCGGTTACAAAAAAAATACGCTAAAACATACAAAAAAATACTCTTGGTGATATATATCGATACAGCAGCCCATTATAACAATATGGTATCACCAAATTTAGTCTAACAATATTTTGAAACAGATATAGTGTTACTTCTTGGTTCAGCTTGTAAATCACATGGCGATGTTCTTTTTCACACTATACTTCTCCACTGTAATATAATGGGAAAAACAAAGTATAATTCACAACAAACCCTGACTAGTAATGAGTACTTGGCTAACACTCGCAAAGACATCACAGCTCTGGCGCTAATGGCGAATGGTATAACATCTCAGTAAAGCGATGACTTGTGACTTGTCTTCTACAGCTAAATAGGATTATAAGAACTGATCTTTAACAGGAAACCATCTGCTTTGTTTGTTAGCCTCACAATTACTCACAGAGACAGACGCTGGCACTGAACACAACAGCATGGAACGGCTCCAACTGCACTCCAAGACTGTGAACTGCAAATTATCACTGTTTCCCCCATAGACATTTGGGTGGGAATAAAGTAAATCAGCGAGCAAGAAGCTGAAACTTTCAAATGTGTTGAAACTGGTACACACGATTTCTATAATTTTCTTTTGTAAATTAGCCCAGATATGATATTATATTGTTTCCTCATCACAAACAGACCTGGAGACACAAATTGACACACTCTGGTCCACCTTGTGATGTCATGCGGTAATACAGGAAGTGCTCCTCTATGTTTTTAAACTCCACACACCTTCACTAGAATCATTTGGATGGTTTTAAGCCCTGGAATTGCTCATCTATACTGAACTAAGAGTAAAAAAAGTAGTGGTTAACTTGAAAACTACCACTACATGACATCACAAGGTGGAACGGAGCATTTTGAGCTTTGGAGATGTAGACAGATTAATAAATAATAATGCTTTAGTCTTACGTAGAGCTTTTCCAGATGCTCAAACTTGCTTTACAGTTTAGTGTATTATTCTTTCATGCCATATCCGGTAGTAGTAAATTATTACTGTTATTATTACCAGTCTGTGTCATTGGTCCCTCTGACCACCAACAACACTCATGCTCACACTCCTTTCATTTTTGGTAATGTGGGTGAAGTGTCTTGCCTAAGGACACAACAATAGACAGTTTTTTGTGACTGACGCTCCACTGTGGCACCTGATTTACCCAGTGGTCTCCCATCCAAGTACTAGCCAGGCCCAGCCCTGTTTAGTTTCTGAGATCTGACGAGATCAGTCTTTGACAAGGACATTTGGCCACTAGAGGATTACTCAAATGTGTGAATGAAACAAAACACAACTCCAGGTCTGTTTTTGATGAGGTAACAGCATTATAACATGGTTTAAAGCTCATAAGAGTCAATTTTGTATAATATAGGATGTTTAAAAAAGGTGCAGATGATCAACTAAGACACGGGTCACCAAACTTTTTCACATTATTGCTCCGGACTGTGGTGGGGGGCCAGGGTTGACTGTCACTGTTTGATCTCGGGCCTTAGTTTAATGACCCCTGAACTAACAGAACAAGAGTACAGAATGGGTATTGTAAAGAAGCCAGTGCAGGAAAAACGTTTTTGATGATTTTGAAATTACATTCTTAAACTTCTAGTAATGCTTAGCAGGGTATCTCAGGTTTGACTACCCCAAATTTAGGACTTTTTAAAGACCTTTTTACGACCACTTAAATGAAAATTAAGACCAACATTGCACCCATTATGTGGGCAAAAAACACCAGATCCAGTTCTAATAATGACCAACCAACTACCAGTACTATATCTAGAATCTAAGAGCCACTGTGGATTAAACCTTCACTTCCCCATGATCCATCCAACATCTTCCTCCACTCTACTGATTGTTCACTTATTGCCACCAGTGCCAGAAACCAAAGTATTGTTTGCGCATTCTCCAAATTAGACGTTCATTCACGTTGTTTTTTTTTTTTTTTTTCCCCCTCCCTCCATTTAACTTTGCACTGAGCATGGCTGAGTAAACAAAAAAAAAGGCTAATAAACTTTAAGACCTTTGTGAAAAAAATAAACTTGGACAACATAATTTAAGACTTTTTAAGGCCTTGATTTAGGAACATGAAATTTAAGACTCCGTGGCTACCCTGCTTGGAAGTATTCGTCCCTGTACCTGATTATTGTATGTATTTTAAAATATATCGTTCCCATTACAAATATATAGCAGCTCTTGAGATCAAAATAAGTCTAATTATAAAGCGTTTTATTGTTAGATAGTCAGGACGTGTGTGGTTAGTATGTTAATTGTTGTTAGAAATACTGTGACATCAAAATCTCTGAAAACTCTGAAAAGCTCTTACAAACAAACCCATCGCGGTGAAAAATTAGGACGCTTGGAATGCATGAGGTTAGAGGAATAACTCTGGACCACTGCAGAAAACACTTCAAAATCATGCACAAATACTGCAAATTTTTACCAAACCAAATCTCTTTCTTTCATCTTCTCAGAACTCCAAGCCTCCAACAAAATTCCAGCAAACTTTTGTAATTATCCAAGCTTCGGAACCAATTCAACCAAAAACACTGAACCCAAACGCAAAATCCAGCCAAAAAACAAACATAAAATTACTTACATCTTTGAGGCAGCCCATGAAGTTGTTGCTGACCGGCGATCCTGGCAGGTCCGCCGTGTTGGGACTCCCCCCGATGTAGAAGAAATCATCCGAGCCCAGCATGGTGTAGTCCTCTTGGGTGTACCCGGTGGTGGTCAGTATACCATCCACCGAAATGGTCACCTGTTCCCACCATTGCCCCAGGAAAGACGGGATGAGGCAAGTGAAAGAGCAAAAGAGCAGGAGCAGGTAGAATGGGATATAAATTAAAAAGAATGAGAAGAAGAAGACAGAGAAGAGAAATCGATTAAAATTCACAAGAAATGTTCAAAATGGCCGGCTAATTGTATTGTTTTCTTGTTTGGGCCAGTCAGGTGGGAGGTTTCGACTCTTGAGTGCAGTTGTTAAGTAGAAAGCTAACAAAAAGTGACTTCTCAATTCCTTATCGCTCGCAAAACAAATCTAATTTAGCTACAATGTCGATAGCGCTAACACACTTCTGCCATATTATTTCCTAACCAGTACTGCGCTCTTGACGATATCTGATTAAAGGAATTCTAAACTGTTCCAAAGCTGTAAACAAAGCTAAATTGAAGGTATATTTAAAATACCGCCTACCTGCCCGATCCGTAAACGTAATTACATTTCTAATTTGCATACGTCCCATTTCCGCGCCTCATCGTGGCTACAGCCCGTTTTTCACAATGACGCAAATTGCTATATGTGCTAAAAGCGCTAACAAGAACTAATTTGGCTAATTGTATTAAATCACAGTTGTGTTCGCCGTCACTGCAGTCGCTACGCGTGCTAGCCCCGGCTTCTTAACGGATCTGGCAGGTAGCTTTGGGAGAGCTGGAGGTTGTTAGCGACCAATTTATGAGCTAATTTTGCTAATGGCGGCCCGGGTGTAAGGTGCGCACACAAGCGTTTTGCTAAATCATTTCGTGAGTTTGCCGCATAAGGGAAACAATGCAGAGTCAGATGCTGTTTGCTCTGTATGATTATGATTATTATAGATTCCTACACAGATTTGTATATATTTGCGAACAGTGATGGGAAGAATACTTTGAAAATGTATTTAGTTATCCAGAATACTTGCTTTAAAATATATTTTGTTACCTGTCCTGTTACATGGGCCAACCAAAGTACTGTATTCTGAATTTATTATTCGGATTATAAGGCGCAGTATCAATAATGTTGAATTCTCTCGTCTATTTTCATACATAAGGTGCACTGGATTATAAGGAGCATTAAGATAAACAAACGGACGACACTTAGTCCAAGCATCCACGGTCCATCGGCAGATCGTGGCGTAATTTGCTCGGCGTTGCCTCCCTGTCTTGGTGAATGTGTGTTATAAATGTGAATGTGGGTAGATCATTTAAGTTAGTTTTTTTTTCAAATATACATTGAGTAATAATGAGTTTAATGCAGCTTTGAGCACATTTGTTTATGATTTACAGAAACAAAACCACATGGCTCATTTGCAAAAACTATAAGTACTGAGATTTTAACAGATTTTTGAGCACCATGTACCACGTAAAATCAGTTAGAGGTCAGTAAGCACAACCAGAATTAATGGATAAGGCGCACTGGATTATAAGAGAATTTGAGAAAATTAAAGGGTTTTAAGTGTGCCTTATAGTTCGAAAACTACTGTACTTAGAATACTTTTACATCAAGTTGCCTTTAAATTACAGTATAAAGACGTGATATAAGATCAAAAACAGCTTTGTGTTTGTTTCACGATTTGTTATGCGTTTCCTATCACTAACTGGAGAAGGAAAAATTACGCATTCTTCACCCACGAGAGTTGCACTTTCTGTTTTACTCACTAATTTTGTGCAGTTTGAAGCCAAAATAAACTTTGTGATGAATCAACTGCAATGTATTTCTTCGATTTTTAGAAAAGTAACTGTATTCTGACTACAACCAAATGAAAATAGTAACTGTACCAGAACAGAGTTACTAAAAATGTGCATTCTGAATATATATTCTTGGTACATGTATTCAGATACTTACCAACACTGTTTTTGCGAATACCCCTTTGAATTGTACTTTATATGCATCTAGAAGTCAAGCTTATTTGACAGACAATGCTTCTTTTGAACTATTACATATACTTTTTTATACTTTATATATACTTTTACTTGTCAGAAATGCTAATATGTTAACTCAAAACAAAATCAATCCTAGTTTCCATTTCTGCTTACGTTGTTTGCATACGGGGCCTAAGTTTTACACAAGCAATGAAAGTTTTGAGGTTGCTAAATAAAGTTAATTTGAAGTACTATGCTAATCTAATTGTCAACTCCATAACAGAACTGCTTTACTATGTGAAGATTAATTTACCATAGAGAAAAATCCCACACTCCGTCGTACTTGCAAATTGTGAGATTTATTAGAACGTAAACAGCGTTTCGGGCACTAGGCCTTCATCAGGTAAATAGAGGAATAGCTCAGGTGGTCAATGTACCCCAACTTTTACTTGTACGACCTGTTACGGGGTCCACCACCTATTCCAACATGCCTTCATTCCGACATGCCGGTATTACAACATGCCTCTACTTAGACGGTTTTGTGTGTTTTGGGCTGCGAGAGTGTCACCTATTTGAGCGGGCGCAATGAACTTGGTTGGTTATTTATTTAGGCGTGTTTATGGTGTTTTCCACAGATCACCTACATGACAAAAATAATAAAGCGCAAAGGGCCCATGCAGCCTTCGTTTTAGATGAGATATTTTCTCGAAGGCTGGCCTATGCTCTTTTTAAAACGCTATCAGTTAGGATATCAGGCCATGGGAAAATGTCCTATGTGAATGAAGTATTCTCTGATCAAGAACATGACATCGGTCCAAGAATCTTATAATATATGGGAGTGCAAAATATATAAAATGTCGAAGTAGTGGGACACTTAAAAATAATGTTTATGCTTCTACTCCGACAATTAGACTTCAGTGTCTAAATAGCGGCATGTCAGAATAGCAGGATGTAACCTCCTGTCATTCTTGGGTGCTTGCCATACCCTAATTAAGACGGCCACCTGAGCTCTTCCTCTATTTGCCTGATGAAAGCCTAATCCCGAAGCGTTTTTTATGTCTAATAAATCTCACAATTTGCAAGTAAGACGGTGTGTGGGATTTTTCTCTTTGTTCTCGGGCTGCTCCCTCTCCTCCAACCGTTTCAAGAAGTTGATGTGTGAAGTTCTAATTCTTTTATAAGATTAATTGATCAAAAAGTTAGTCAAATGTTGTTCTTAACTTGAATTTAACATTATCTTAACATGTCCTAACTCCTTTTACCTGATCATATGGTTTCTGAGACTGACGTTAGCTCTACGAGAAGACTTTTTTTTTTTTTTACATCTGGCTTTTCCACATGTGTTGACGGTTGCATTGTGTAAGTCTGTCATGAGACAACGCGCCTTATTTTGAAGTAGGTTTTGCATTTAATTGTTTTGACATGGCTTTCTCATCTTACACTAAGTCAGTCACTGAATGCTGAGGATCAAAAACGTTACTTTGAAAAGTTAAAACTCACCGATAACTGTTGACGATGTTGATGTTAAATGTTGTATGACAATTGTTGATGTTGTCCACCGATAACTGTTGACGATGTTGATGTTTACTTTTGTTTATATGGACGTTTTTAGCCAACCAAAATGGCTGGTGATGTCATCGTGTTTTCTCGTATTGCATGTGCTTCTATAGGACTTTGTTTTCGTTGTTTTTTTTTTATTTTTTCAGTACAATTCAACATAACTACACATTCTTCCATCTCACATTTCCATGACCTAACTAGATACGACCGCTTAATTCTGGAAAAAAAAACAACTCCTTTTAACATCCACTTTAGTTTTACTTTAACGACTGCACTCAACAATAGAAACCACCTCACCGGAGTGAACTTTTCTTTCTCCTTTTTTCCGTACTCCCCTCGTAGAAAGGGCAACTCATTTTTATGTCTGTCATTGGAAACGTGTTGTGAAATTGGACCGTCAGCACCCAGGCAATTAGGATTTGAAGGATCTACCATGACAGTACAAGTTGGTGGGGGGACTTCTGCTCAACATTGGACCACGTCGTGAAATATAAATGAATCAACAACAGCTTCACGGACAAGCAGTTTGCAGTCTTTGCACAGTTGGCATTTCTTAACAGGATGCAGAAATATATCACTTTTTTCATTTCTTTTTTAATTTTCTGTAAGGATTGATTCTTCCTGAGCTCTCAAGGACGGTATCTGTATTGACAAGCTGCCAGACACCTATGACGTTTGCATTTGCCGAGAAAAATAAAAGTGTATTTCTCATGCCTTTTTGAACGTCGAAAGTTCATTGTGTCATCCGAGCGTTCAGTGCATGCGGTGGGGAAAAAAAAAACAAAAGAGAGAAGTGCTCCGGGCAATATGGGTTTCTATTCATTACAGAACAAAGATGGAAGACTCTAAAAATACTGTGAGGTTAGCTTTTATTATCTGAAAGTAACTGAATACATAAATATCTCGCAAGGAGAGACTGACCACTGGATGACCCACTTGCATGTTATTTGTCCCCAGACTCTTAAAGATACCTGTAAAAACACCACGGTGACCCAGTTCGGATAGCGACTCCCCAGTGTCTCTGTTTTAACCAATAGCCTACTTGAATTTATAACACCGACTTCGCTTTCACGTATGACTTATGGGGTAATAAGGATAAAGCGCACGGGGAAAATCCGATTGTTATGCAAAATGAGTCCATAAGTACAGTATAAGTAGATATCTGTGTAAAGAAGTGGATTAAGCGAGTGCGCTGTCACCTATCGCGTACGGCTCAAGCCAAATGAAGCTCTTTATAAGGGCGAATTTGAAGCTGAGGTCCATATTCTAAACGGGAGGATCATCAATATCAAAAAAGCCAATCCGGAGTGAGGCTGTTCAAGGTAACGCCACTTCACGAACGCAACACTGGTTTGGCCATGGAGATATAATAAAAAACTGGATATGGCGTTTCCCCTCTGTCCCAGCTTGAGACAGACTAGTGGCCGCTTCAGGTACTGCAGAAAGAATTCTTATTCCATAGAGCGCAACGCATTTTTTGGGGAATTCAGATTGCCTGTGTTCGCCTGACAGGGTACAAAAGTCGAATTTTGCAGGGACTTTTTTTGTATTTTCACAACATTCACCTTTAAAATAGTTTAAATC